TTAATGCAAACCACCACAGCTGACCAAAATCCGTGGAGTTGGGTTGTCTTGCACTGATCTAATCCTCTGGCTGAAGATTCTGAAGTCTAGTTGGACTCTGAACTAAATCAGATCCACGGACACTCAGCAGCAGGAGCAGCCTGGTCCTGGAAGCCTGGAGCTGAAGAACCCTTCATGTCTTCAGCAACAGCTCCAGCAGGACCGAGTCCCGAATTTGTGAGCAGTCAGCATTTCTTCCCTGCAATTTCAGTGCCGAGAGGTGCTAGTGGCATTCCAACCCTAACTGGATTAAGGACACCCAACGTCAGCGGAACCCAACTTCCCAAGGAAGGAGCAAGCCTAACGCACTTTTTTTAACTGGGCTTGTAATTATTTTTAAACTGCCCATACTGGTGTGTTTCTATTTTCATAGCCTGTACTATTACGTCACTGAAAAATGACCGATCTATTGTGAGTAGCATATGTAAGTACTATTTTCTAACAAAGTGATGGATGTAATATTATTATACGTCATTGTTTTAAAGAGTAGACAACCTGTAAAATTACAAAGGAAAACCCTGCTCGAGTATATAGCTTGCGTGCAATTGCCATTAATGCTGTCTGTATTTTTAAACAAGCTATAATACTGTGATGATGCTGTAAACTTACTTCTGTAGGCAAAAAGTGTTGTATCTAAAAATGTCAAGACGAAGGATGTAAATGTTCTTAAAGTGCTATCTACTAAAAATACGAATTTTCACAGAATATTCTAAAGGATTATGTTACATGCTACAGATCTATTTTACAAACATATTTATGGATCATACACACTAGTCTATGTGAGAACAAACGGTACTATTTTGTTACAAAATCAATAAATAAGCAGTGAATATCCATGCTCAAAAGCTGGAAAATGTTTTTTCAAGGTACCCTGATCCATTCTATAGGGAATTTGACAGCCAGAGGACACAGGACCTTACTGACAGAAGGTATACACCCCCCCTCACCTCCCAGCCTCCCCCTAGACAGATCATGCTGCTGTCAGTGCAGGCAAAGATCTTCGGAATCAGTTTGGAAGAAAAAGGAACAGTGAGCTCGTTGCATAAAAACAATGCAAATGCAGTATTCATAAGATGAATGTATGTATTCCCCAAATTAAAAAACATGTTTAAACACAGCAGCATTTAGAATATCGACTCCGTTGCAGGCAGCAGCAATTTGCACAGTGTCTAGGTTAGCTCTTACTGAGTGGAGACAATAAAAAGTCACTCTCTGAAAATCATACTGAATGGTAATAAAATTACACTTTGAAGAATGCAAGTATATTTCAAAATGCATTAAAAATACAGAGCTGGAAGCACTCCAGCTCTTGCTGGAGTATGTACATACCAGTTGGAATAACTGCACTGAAAGCTACAATCCAGGTTTTTACGGAAGAAGAATCTGGGCTGTGTCAGCTAACGATTTCGCAGGGGAACATGATCCCTTCCAGCAGCAAAACCTCGTCCTCAGCGCCATCAGGTTAAAATTTTTGTCAGGCTCCCAATATGAATAAATGGGTTCAGCTCCTCTTCTGGGAAGCTGATCAAACTGGCCACAGTAAAAATACCCAACCAACCAAAATGAAAACCTGGCTCTTGCCACACAACAAAACCATGACTGGGAGAGGGATTTAGGAAAAGGTGGTGGTCCCAAGGGGGCCTGAAGCATTTCAGTTTTTAGTACACCTTCAGAGAAAAATCTCAAGATTAATGTAAGGACAACTGGACCAGTGGGATCAGGGCCCAACTGCTCTAGGTGACCTGCTTGAGCAGAGGGTCAGACTAGATGTCTTCCACAGTCCCTTCCAACCTCCACTACTCCACGATTACATATTTCACAAGTCGCTGGAAATCAGTATTCAGACGTGTTTATCTTTCTCCCCAGTTCATATCCAAGCAAGTTAATTGTACTAAAACTTCATTCCCATTCAAACATGTGCTCTCGGCTCATTGTGAACGAGACGGAAGTTTATCCTGGAGGAAAAACCAATACAAAGTCCCATGGCCCAACAGATGGTTAGAAACAAGACTATGGAACGACTGAGCCTGAAAGCCAGGTTAATTTTTTTATAGAGAAAGCTAAGGCCCATGAAAGGGAAAATTACCTTGCTGCAGTCCACAGGAAACTGATTTTAATGATAATTTGAGGAACACAATTCTATCCAAAGGATCAGTTATAAAGTATAATATCATGAAACTGTTTATCAGCACACACATAACACAAAACAATGTATATACAAAAAACCCTTCTGTATCTGTAAAAAGTTCAGAGCAATAAACTCTACTACCTCGCGCACCGTTCGAAAGGTTAAATAATGCAACTACGTGCAGCACGAAAGCTGGAAAGCAAAAGCTCCAAAGAACTTTTAAACAAGGGAGCAGAGGAATAAATATTTCTTGATCATAGTTTTAAAGTGTTTCTTCAGATCAAAAGAAAAATCTGCTGCTGAGGAAGGAGGGGGGGATGCTTCTGCGAGGGGAAAATTAAGAGACATGATCCACTTTCTTTTTTCCCTATGTCCTCCCCGTCAGAGTTCTTGGATCTCTAGCCTCGAACACTGCAGGATTATAAAATCAGTTATTTAGAGACTCAGATCACTCATTCCACTGTACAGCCCTAATAGCTGCTACACGAAAACACAAGACAAGCAGTCAGATCTCAGAGTCATCCTTGATGCAAAACGAAAGAATGCAGTGAGCAGTGGGAAAACGCAGGCAACAGGCATAAGCAAAACACTTGGATTTTTCAGAGGATCTATCTGAACTCTTTCTAACACTCATGCAAACACCAAGAACTGTCCAGCCACTGTGCTGTGCGAGTGTGAGCACTGTTCTACAGACAAACACGGTCAGATGCCGAACCCAAAGAGCTCCCAGTTCGATGTATTCACACAAAGGCTTGGCAAGAGTTGCAAAGATGCATTTCAGTGCTTCTGGAAAACATCTGTGTACTGACAGCAACAATCAAAACGTCTTCTTTTACTTATAAAACTAATGAAACTACATTTAGAGTTCTGGAACTTACTTTCTGTGGTTTTTGTAAGGGCTGAAAGACGTGCTCGTTGGCCACAACAACAAAACCACATTTTCAAAGGATTCAGCTCCTGATTACCACTTCTGTAGCCGACAGACCTTACGAGACTTCCACGGGATCACGGGCATCCTTTGCCTAGTGCTAAGCAGATTGCTGGAGACTTGGGAAGACTCCAGAGAAACCGAGTGTAGTCCAAAGCAAACAAGGAACAGAGAGGGAGTATCCAAAAAGAAAAGGTTTATGAGATTGGAAGGTAGGAGATTTAAAGGATTTAAACTTTTCTAAGGATTACAGAGCGATGGGAAGAAACAAACATCAGTTTATTCATTACAGAGGGAGCTATGCAATCTGCAGTGACAGTTCACATGCTAAAGCCAAGCTCAGGGCATTATTTTCGATGGCCTTATATTAAATTAAACCTGCTGTTTGCAAGGAACCAGAGCAAACTGCCAGTGAAGCAGTGAGGACAACGAGCCCTGAACAACTTAGGGCTGCATTATGCTTCCACTTGGGGCTTGACCTACTCAGGATCAACTCCCAGGGAAATCATTCAAGGCAGGTTTTTAAAGTGCCAAAAGGCAGATATTTGCTAACGCAGGCTGGCCCACCTACCTCTATATCCTAGCATTGCTTTTCATGTTTTCCATTGATTTGTAGGAAATGAAAACAAGAGGCTCGACAGCCCTCAAGCACTCTTATAAACAATACATAGCATACAAAAAACAATAACTACATGGTATAAAACACAAAACCAACTTCAGCAATACATATTCTTGTCCCAAAATAGGAAAATAAAATGCCATAGTAAGATTTAATCCTATTTTCTTTGTAACAAAAATTCA